CATCCTGCAGCCCTGCCGGCCCCCCAGCCCGCCCCACTCACTTGTAGATGGGCATGGCGATGTGTTCCATAAAGCTGATCTGCAGCTCAGGGATGTAGGCCTTTTCCCGGTCCATCATCTCCATCGGACGGTTGCCCATGGCTTTCTCCTGGGGAAGGAAGGAGAGAGAGAGAGGGAGGGAGAAAGAGAGCGCAAGAGGGAGAAACAGAGAGAGAGAGAGAGAAAAAGAAAGAAAGAAAGAAAGAAAGAAAGAAAAAGCCAAGCAGAGAGAAAGAGAAAGAAAAGGCGAAACAAAGAGAAAGAGAAAAAGAGAGCAAAAGAAAGGAAGAAAGAAAGAAAGAAGGGCGAAACAGAGAGAGAAAGAGAGAAAGAGAAAAATAGAGAAAGAGAGATAGAAAGAAAAAAGGGGGCGAAAGAGAGAGAAAGAAAGAGAAAGGAAGGAAGGGGGCAAGAGAGAGAGAGAGAGAGAGAAAGAAATAAAAGGCAAAAAGAGAAAAAGAAAGTAAAGAAAGTAAAGAAAGAAAGAAAGAAAGAAAGAAAAAGGGTGAAACAGAGAGAAAGAGAGAAAGAGAAAAAGAGAGAAAGAGAAAGAAAAAAGAAAGGGCGAAAGAGAAAGAGAGAGAAAGAAAGGAAGGAAGAAAGAAAGAGGGCAAAAGAGAGAGAGAGTAAGTAAATAAGGAAGGAAGGAAGGAAGGGGTGAAACAGAGAGAGAGAAAGAGAGAGAGAGAGAGAGAAAGAAATAAAAGGCAAAAAGAGAAAAAGAGAAAGAAAGGAAAGAAAGAAAGAAAGAAAGAAAGAAAGAAAAAAGGGTGAAACAGAGAGAAAGAGAAAGAGAAAGAGAAAAAGAGAGAAAGAGAGAAAGAAAAAAGAAAGAGGGCGAAAGAGAGAGAGAGAGAGAGAGAGAAAGAGAAAGGAAGGAAGGAAGAAAGAGGGCAAAAGAGAGAGAGAGAAAGAGAAAGAGAGAAAGGAAGTAAGTAAATAAGGAAGGAAGGAAGGAAGGAAGGGAAGGAAGGAAGCGAAAGAGAGAGAGAGAGAGAGAGAGAGAGAGATGGGTCATTCTTCCCTCCTTCCCTTCCTTCCGGCTTACCCTATCGCTGGGTGGTGAATTTTCCCCCGTGGGGAGGGGGACAAATCTCCCCCCTTCCGCCAGCTCCCTGGCAACCCCTCCCTCTTCTCCAAGAACGACCCCAAAGGGTTAACAGAATCATCACCGAGCTGGAAAGGGACCTGGGAGATCCACTAGTCCACCCCCGTCTCAGGCAGGTGACCCTGCCTACCCCCTTCCAGACAAAACAGGCTGCCCAGTCTCTTCTTGAAAACCTCCAGGGATGGAGCACCCACAACTTCTGGTGGCGGGTCGTTCCACTGGTTAATTGTTCCCCCTGTCAGGAAATTCCTCCTTCGTTTTAAGGCTGGTGGTGGGCGGACGTCGCGCCTGTTCCATCCCTGGAGGTTTCCAAGAAGAGATTGGGCCACCGTTCGTCTTGGGTGGCGTGAGGTCTCCTGCTTGAGCAGGGGGTTGGACTAGATGACCTCCAAGGTCTCCGATCCCACGGTGGCATTTTAGGCTTACATACCAGATCTCCCTGGGAGAAGAATTCCTTGTAGATCAGTTCCTGGAAAGAAAAGGACAGGGATTCAGTGCATGCTGACAAGCCTTCAACTCTTCCATCTGCACGTTTTTTTTGAGGGGGGGGTCCAGGGAAGACACCCCCAAAACCGTCCCTCTCATGCCAGGGGCCACTTCAACTCCTGAGGAGGAGCGATAGATCCCTGTGGTGAATCTCCCCGATCTGGTGCCCTTCTGATCCTCTGGGATCTGGCTCTGAGCATCCCCCAGACATCAAGATGGAGAATGGGGCAACCCTGGCTGGCTGTTGAGCCCAAGTACAGATGACCTCTGGGTGCCCCCCACCAAGGACCCCCGGCAGAATGACTAGAATCACAGAGTTGGAAGAAGGGACCTCGGAGGTCCAACCCCCCTGCTCATGCAGGAGACCCTTACAGAATGACAGAATCACAGAGTTGGAAAGGGACCCTGGAGGTCGTCTAGTCCAACCCCCTGCTCAAGTAGGAGAACCTTACAGAAGAACAGAATCAGAGTTGGAAAAGGGACCTCAGAGATCTTCTAGTCCATGCAGGAAACCCTTACAGAGTCACAGAATAACTAGAGTTGGAAAAGGGACCTCAGAGGTCATCTAGTCCAGCCCCCTGCTCGGGCAGGAGAACCTGACAGAATGACAGAAGAACAGAATTGGAAAGGGACCGCGGAGGTCTTCTAGTCCAGCCCTCTGCTCATGCAGGAAACCCTTACACAGAATAACTGGAGTTGGAAAAGGGACCTCAGAGGTCTTCTAGTCCAGCCCCCTGCTCATGCAGGAAACCCTTACAGAGTCACAGAATAACTGGAGTTGGAAAAGGGACCTCGGAGGTCTTCTAGTCCAGCCCCCTGCTCATGCAGGAAACCCTTACAGAGTCACAGAATAACTAGAGTTGGAAAAGGGACCTCAGAGGTCTTCTAGTCCAGCCCCCTGCTCAAGCAGGAGACCCTTACAGAATCATAGAATAGAATAGAGCTGAAAGGGGCCTCGGAGGTCTTCTAGTCCAGCCCCTCCTGCTTGAGCGGGAGAACCTTACAGAATAACAGGATCAGAGTTGGAAGGGACCCTGGAGGTCTTCTAGTCCACCCCCCACCCCGCTCGAACAGGAAACCCTGCTCGATGCTCCCCTTTCCCTTCTAGCTGCAATTCAACAGGGAAAGTTTGGAGAGCCTTTTTTGCCCGGGGTCCCAAAGGGGGGGGAGACTACGGGGGGCGTGGCTGCCCGGGGCAGAGGGTCCTTGGGTGGGAGAAGGTGCCAAGTGCCAGGGGACCCCTCCCTCTTCCCAGGGAGGCTGGCCCCGAGGGCTCCGGCCCACCGGCCTGGTTAGACCGGGGCTCTCTCCTTGGCCTCCTTTCCCTCCCGCGTGCTCACCGCGATCTTGCGGGTGGTCTTCCAGCCTTTGGTCTGGTCCGAGAGGTCACAGGAGGTCATGAGAAGGTAAAGCAGGAGGCTGTGGTGCTGCTTGTTGGCCGGGTCGTAGCCGACTGCAATGGGGGGGGGAGAGGAGGAGGAGGAATGGAGGAAAGAAGGGAGAGAGAGAGAGAGAGAAGGAAAGAAAGGGAAGGGAAGAGTAGGAGAAAAAGTGGGAGGGAGGGAGGGAAGGAAAAGAAAAAAAGGAAGGGAAGAAAAAGAAAGGAAGGGAAGGAAGGAGGAAAGGTGGAGAAGGAAGGGAGGGAGGGAAGAATGAAGGAAAGAAGGAAGAGAAAAGAATAAGGAAAGAAAGAAAGAAAGAAAGAAAGAAAGAAAGGAGGAAGGGAAAGGAAGGAAAGGGAGGGATGAAGGGAGGGAGAGGAGAAAAGGAAGGAATGAAAGAACGAAGGGAGAGAAGGAGGAAAAAGTAGGAAAAGGAAGGAAGGAAGGGAGGGAGGGAGGAAGAGAGAAAGAAAAAGAAAGAAAGAAAAGGAAGGAAGGAAGGAAGAAAGAAAGAAACAAAGAAAGAAAGAAAGAAAGAAGGGAAAGGAAAGAAAGGGAGGGATGAAGGGAGGGAGAGGAGAAAAGGAAGGAACAAAAGAGTGAAGGGAGAGAGGGAGGAAAAAGTAGGAAAAAGAAGGAAGGGAGGGAGGGAGGGAGGGAGAGAGAAAGAGAAAGAAAGAAAGAAAGAAAGAAAGGAGGAAGGGAAAGGAAGGAAAGGGAGAGATGAAGGGAGGGAGAGGAGAAAAGGAAGGAATGAAAGAACAAAGGGAGAGAAGGAGGAAAAAGTAGGAAAAGGAAGGAAGGAAGGAAGGAAGGAAGGGAGGGAGGGAGGGAGGAAGAGAGAAAGAAAAAGAAAGAAAGAAAGAAAGGAGGAAGGGAAAGGAAGTTAAGGGAGGGATGAAGGGAGGGAGAGGAAAAAAGGAAGGAACAAAAGAGTGAAGGGAGAGAGGGAGGAAAAAGTAGGAAAAAGAAGGAAGGAAGGGAGGGAGGGAGGGAGGAAGAGAGAAAGAGAAAGAAAGAAAGAAAGAAAGGAGGAAGGGAAAGGAAGGAAAGGGAGGGATGAAGGGAGGGAGAGGAGAAAAGGAAGGAACGAAAGAATGAAGGGAGAGAGTGGGAGGGAGGAAAAAGTAGGAAAAGGAAGGGAGGGAGGGAGGGATTTTTAAAATAATAATAATAAAATGTTAAAAACAATAACAACAATAACGGAGTTCCACTTGAGGGAACCCATATCTGAGGGACTTGTGTGTAGAGATGTATTGGTCCAAGTTGTGTCCAAGACACAAACACAACTTTTTGTCCTTTAGGCATTGGGTGAGGTCCTTCCAGATCTGCCCACCCCTGAAGAAGGACCTCAATTTGGGAAGGACGGGGTGCCCCGCTTTACCGTCGGCCATCTTCTGCAGGTCTTTGAAGATCCTCAAGTGATGGGCCAGGTCGGTGGCCAGGATGATGTCCCTCATCAGATCCAGCATCCTTTGGTAATCCTGTGGGATCAAGCGGTCTCTGCTTCAACGTCCTTCACTACTACGTGATCGAGAGAGGCAGCCCCCTGGCCCGAAGGGGGGCACCTGGCCCGGAGGCCCCTCTAAAAAGTCCCAGGTGGGACTCCGAAACTCCGTCAACAGCTTGGAGAAGGTGGTGGAACAGTTTGGGGGGGAACAACTGGATCTTCGGTGACCAAAGACCCCCTGGGCAATTTGGGAACTGGGCCTGATCGAAGTGCAGGGTTTCTCGGCCTTCGCAACTTTTAAGATGGGGGGACTTCAACTCCCATAATTCCCCAGCCAGCACAGGTGGACTTCAACTCCCATAATTCCCCAGCCAGCAAGGGTGGACTTCATTTCCCAGAATTCCCCAGCCAGAATACTTTAAGGTGGGGGGAATTCAACTCCCAGAATCCCTCAGTCGGCACAGGTGGACTTCAACTCCCATAATTCCCCAGCCAGCACAGGTGGACTCCCATAATTCCCCAGTCAGCACAGGTGGACTTCAACTCCCATAATTCCCCAGCCAGCAAGGGTGGACTTCAACTCCCAGAATTCCCAGCTACCAGAGCTGGACTGCAACTCCCAGAATTCCCAGCCACCAGAGCTGGACTTCAACTCCCAGAATTCCCAGCCACCAGAGCTTCAACTCCCAGAATTCCGAGCCACCAGAGCTGGGCTTCAACTCCCAGAATGCCCAGCCACCAGAACTGGACTTCAACTCCCAGAATCCCTCAGTTAGCACACCCCAAACCACCTGGGGAGGGGAGGGGATCCAAACAAGTTAAGGCCGTATCTGTGCCTGTGTGCCATAAAAACAAAACCCTGCCCCCTTTTTGGCAGCCCCCTCCTCAATTTCTGCCCCCCCCCGGCGGAGGAGGGGGGTCCCAGCCAGTCTGGGAGCTCACTGTCAACGCTGCTAACATCGGATGCTCTTGCTTTGACAACATATGAAGAAGCAGCCATTTTCCTTCTTATGTTTTTACTCTTAGAGTTAGAGTTAGAGTTAGATGATGCAGGGAGGGAGGAATGTGCATGAGAGTTTAGCTAGACATAACAATGCTGAGCCTAGTGTGAGAATCAAGGTTATTGAAATAAGAGATGATAAGGAATGGTGGGCTGGAGAACTGGAGGGAAGGCCTGCATTTCAAGCTAATTGGAGAATGTGATTTATGACCGTTCATCGGAGGAGGGAATTGTGCTTTGATACTATGTGCTCAAGGGGAGGGGAATTCAGATTTTGGCTTCGACTGTGTTAGTGCCGATATTATGCTACTCAAAATAAAGATTCTTTAAGGTAAACAATGCCTCAAAGTTCTTTTGAAGAGATTCATCTGTCGGAACCAGGACACTCACCTTGCGGGAGAAATGGTCGAAGATGTTGCAGCCGTGCGTGTTCAAGATGGCGATGGCCTGGGCGAAATGGTGTCTCTGCGACAAACAAACACAACCGCGGAGATGGAGAGGCACCTATTGCATCGGCGGACTCACACAGCGATCCTTTCGACGTGTGTACTCGGCCAGTGTGTGACACAGACACAGGCCGTCCTCAACTTACGACCGCAAAACGGAGCCTCAAAACGTCCACGGTTAAGTGAGACAGTGGCGAAGTGACTTTTGCCCCATTTTACGACCTTTCTCGTCGTAAAGCGAATCACTGCAGTTGTTAAGTTACTAACATGGTTGTTAAGTGAATCCGGCTTCCCCACTGAACTTTGCTGGTCGCAAAAGGGGAAATCACCTGACCCCGGGACGCTGCGACCGTCATAAATGTGAGTCGGTTGCCAATTTGGATCCCGTGACCGCGGGGAGGCTGTGGCGGCCGTAAGTCTGAAAAACGGTCGTAACTCACTTTTTTCAGTGCCGTCCTGACTTGGAACGGTCACTAAATGAAGTGGTGTAGGTTGAGGACCAGCTGCATGGGTGACCATTCTTTTTAGACCCAGGCCGTGGAGAAAGGAACTCCCAAAATCGCTTCAACCCACAAGGTTCTCCCTCCCTCCTCCCCGGTCCAGATTTGAACCTGGTTCCATCGGGCAAGGAGAGCAACAGATTCCTGAATCCGCAGGTCTCCATCGTGGTCTCCTCCCTTTAGTTTGACCAGGATGGTATAAGGCAGGGGTCTTCCAACTTGGCCCTTTGATGACTTGTGGACTTCAACTCCCAGAATTCCTCAGCCAGGCACGGTTGCCTGACTGAGGAATTCTGGGAGTTGAAGTCCACAAGTCATGAAAGGGCCAAGTTTGAAGACCCCTGGTATAAGGTCTCCTGCTTGAACAGGGGGTTGGACTAGAAGACCTCCGAGGTCCCTTCCAGAACAGAACAGAAGAGCAGAATTGGAAGGGGCCTTGGAGGTCTTCTAGTCCAACCCATTCCTTGAGCAGGAGATCCTACACCATTTCAGATCAATGGTGGTCCAGTCTCTTCTTAAAAACCTCCAGTGATGGAGCAACCACAACGTCTGGTGGCAAGCTGTTCCACTGGTTGATTCTTCTCACTATCAGGAAATTCCTCCTTAGTTCCAGTTGCTTCTGTCCCTGATGAGTTTCCATCCGTTGCTTCTTCTCCTGCCTTTAGGGGCTTTGGAGAATAGCTTGGCCCCCAACTCTTCTTTGAGGCAGCCCCCCAACTATTGGAAGACTACTATCATGTCCCCCCTAGTCCTTCTCTTCATTAAACTGGACATACCTAATTCCTGCAACTGTTATTCCTATATTTTATCCTTTATAGCTTCTTGTCCTGCCTTCAAGTGCGTTGGAGAAGAGATTGATCGCCATGTCTATGACTCTATGTTCTAGTTGTCCTCCTATTCCAGGAGTCTTCAAACTTGGCCCTTTTCTGACTTGTGGACTTCAACTCCCAGAATTCCTCAGCCAGCGTGAGGGAACTATGACCCTTTTCTGACTTGTGGACTTCAACTCCCAGAATTCCTCAGCCAGCGAGAGGGAACTGTGGCCCTTTGATGACTTGTGGACTTCAACTCCCAGAATTCCTCAGCCAGCGTGAGGGAACTGTGACCCTTTTCTGACTTGTGGACTTCAACTCCCAGAATTCCTCAGCCAGCGAGAGGGAACTGTGGCCCTTTTCTGACTTGTGGACTTCAACTCCCAGAATTCCTCAGCCAGCGTGAGGGAACTGTGACCCTTTTCTGACTTGTGGACTTCAACTCCCAGAATTCCTCAGCCAGCGTGAGGGAACTACGGCCCATTTCTGACTTGGGGACTTCAACTCCCAGAATTCCTCAGCCAGCGTGAGGGAACTGCGGCCCTTTGATGACTTGTGGACTTCAACTCCCAGAATTCCTCAGCCAGCGTGAGGGAACTATGGCCCTTTGATGACTTGTGGACTTCAATTCCCAGAATTCCTCAGCCAGCCATGCTGGCTGAGGAATTCTGGGAGTTGAAGTCCACAAGTCACCAAAGGGCCAAGTTGGAAGACCCCTGTCCTATTCCATACCAAAATGGTCGATCGTTCTTAGCTAGGGGGCTGATCCCCCTCTTTCTTTACCTCCATCACGGATCCTTCGGAACTGTACAAAGCCGCCAGGACGGATTTCTGGAAGAGAGAGAATGGAGACAGGTCTCATTGGCGAGGTCCAGCTATGGGTCAAGGAGACCCCCGTGGGGTAGGGGGTGGCTGAGCAAAAACAGAGCAGACAATGTGGTGGGTGGGAAGGGCCCTAAGTTGGCTAGAATCTGAAGCTTCGCCTGTTTTTCTGCATCTCTTTAAGCCAGGGGTCTTCAAACTCGGCCCTTGTGGACTTCAACTCCCAGAATTCCTCAGCCAGGCACGCCTCAACGCAGTCTCTCTCCTCATCTCCCCTTGTTTGGGGGGGGGGATCAACTGGATCTTCGGTGACCAAAGACCCCCTGGGCAATTTGGGAACTGGGCCTGATCGAAGTGCAGGGTTTCTCGGCCTGGGCAACTTTGAAAGAGGGGTGGACTTCAACTCCCAGAATTCCCAGCCAGCATGCTTTAAGATGGGTGGACTTCAACTCCCAGAATTCCCCAGCCGGTATGGTTTAAGATGGGGGGAACTTCAACTCCCAGAATTCCCTAGCCAGAATGCTTTAAGATGGATGGACTTCAACTCCCAGAATCCCCCAGCCTGCATTCTTTAACAGGGGTGGACTTCAACTCCCAGAATTCCCCAGCCAGCATGCTTTAAGATGGGGGGGCTTCAACTCCCAGAATCCCCCAGCCAGCATTCTTTAACAGGGGTGGACTTCAACTCCCAGAATTCCGCAGATAGCATGCTTCTTATTTAAGATGGGGGTGGACTTCAACTCCCAGAATCCTCCAGCCAGTATGCTTTAAGAAGGGTGGACTTCAACTCCCAGAATTCCTGAGCCAGCAGGGGTGGACTTCAACTCCCAGAATTCCCAGCCCCCAGAGCAGAAGGGGCTCCCCAGCCGTACCGATGCCACCTGAAAAGAATTGTTGGTCCCTCGGTGGTCCAGGTCGTGGCACATGCAGGAGACGAACAAGGCGAAGATTTCAATGTCTCTGCGGAGAAGAAAAAGATCGGAGGGGGCTGCATGAACAGAGGGACGGCATCAGGATCACGGGAAACGTTAGTCAAGCAGAACAGAGATGGAAGGGACCTCGGAGGTCTTCTAGTCCAGCCCCCTGCTCAGGCAGGAGACCCTATATCATCTCAGACAGGTGACTGTCCAGTCTCTTCTTAAAAGCCTCTAGTGGTGGAGAAAGAAGGAAGGGAGGGAGGAAGGGAGGGAGGGAAGGAAGGAAGGAAGGAGAGAAGGAAGGAAGGAAGGAAGGAGAGAAGGGAGAAAGGAGAGAAGAAGGCAGGAAGGAAGGAAGGAAGGAGAGAAGGAAGGAAGGAGAGAAGGAAGGAAGGAAGGAAGGAGAGAAGGAAGGAAGGAAAGGAAGGAAGGAGAGAAGGAAGGAAGGAAGGAAGGAAGGAAGGAAGGAAGGAGAGAAGGAAGGAAGGAGAGAAGGAAGAAAGGAGAGAAGAAGGCAGGAAGGAAGGATGGAAGGAGAGAAGGAAGGAAGGAGAGAAGGAAGGAAGGAAGGAAGGAAGGAAGGAGAGAAGGAAGGAAGGAAAGGAAGGAAGGAGAGAAGGAAGGAAGGAAGGAAGGAGAGAAGGAAGGAAGGAGAGAAGGCAGGAAGGCAGAATAGCAGAATAACAGAGTTGGGAGGGACCTTGGACGAGCTCAAGCAGGAGACCCTGTACCATCTCAGACAAGTGGCTGTCCAGTCAAAAACCTCCAGTGATGGAGCACCCACAACTTAGTAGTAGTAGTAGTAATAATAATGATGATGATGATAATAATAATAATAATGATAATAATAATGATAATAATAATGATAATAATAATGATAACAACAACAATACTTGGAAGCCACCTTGGAGGTCATCTAGTCCAGCCCCCTGCTGCTCAGGCAGGAAACCCTATACTTCTGGAGGCAAGTCATTCCACTGATTAATTAACAGAATCACAAGAGTTGGAAGGGACCTTGGAGGTCATCTAGTCCAGCCCCCTGCTGCTCAGGCAGGAGACCCGGCCTGGACCATTCTGGACCAAGGGTCGCCTGACCTCCTTCTGATGACCCTGGCGTAAGTTAAGCCCCCTCCATCCTCTCCACTTACTCCAGATACTTGACGAGCTCCAGGTTCTTGTAGAGCAGGTAGCAGAAGTGGGAGACGGAGAAAGCGTGCGTCCAGTTGTGGTAGGGAGGGTCCCGGTACCCCTTTTTCACCATCAGGCAGAACCTGAGTAGAAGGACCAAAAGAAAGAAAGAAAGAAAGAAAGAAAGAAAGAGAAAGGAAGGAAGAAAGAAAGAAAGAAAGAAAGAAAGAAAGAAAGAAAGAAAGAAAGTAAGTCAGCAAGGCCTTATTGACGCTCCCCCACCCCAATTGAAGATCTCCTTATGGGACCCCTTCCTTGCTGGGGTCCCCAAACTTACCTGACCAGGGTCTGACGGTCCATTTTGTAACTGCTGATGAAATTCATGTCCTGGAGCATGCTGAGAATGGCCTGTGGGGGAAAGAAAGAAAGAGAGAGAGAGAGAGAGAGAGAGAGAGAGAGAGAGAGAGAGAGAGAGAGAGAGAGAGAGA